TGACTGTATAGCCAATACACGTACAGTCCAATAAAAGAATGCCAAAATTGTGTATTAGAATATTAGAAATTATGCGTTAAAAATTCCTTATGACTGAGAAAAACAAGTCGAACAATTTTATAAACCTTACTTCTCTGTAAATATCATTTCTTCTAAAAGTTTATTGCTTCCAATATTGGACACAGCTTTTTATTACATGTATTAAACTTTTGACAGAGATCTTACGGCTCATACAACCTTCAAAATTGAAACAATGATTTGTAATTAACAGTGGCTGGATAATGAAGCCATTAACCGCAAATCGATCGGAAAGTGCCTTTTGCTCAGGAAGTACGAGATCCGGGATCGTATCGAACGTTCTGCATACACTTATCCGTAGGTAATCGAAAGGGAATAAAGCATTTACGTGGATTTCGTCCTGATTCTCCCAGATTCCGTACAATTTCACCGTTTTCCCGAATTACATCGGCAATTACGGGCAGCACGACGCTCAACAAGAGCTCGAGCTTTACGGGTCCGTGATCAACGTCAGATGCTACGAATTGGCTGCCCTGTTTCTCTGTACCGTTTTTGTACCGAAGTGCGGTTCCCAGGGACACGACGTGCGACCCTGTCGTAGCCTCTGCTCCCGTAAGTAATCTCTCCGTTTTCTTTAAAAAGGAACGCGGACGATGTTTCCAAAGAAAATCTTCCATCTTACGTTTTAAAACTGTGGAACGGTAAATCGTAGATAACTACATTTATCCCGGCACCGACGTCGTCGGTTTATACGTTGGTTATACCGGCTACGTTGATTATAATACTATTATCGTGTATCGTGCAATTAGAAACGAAGAGACGTTGCGGATTTTTTCTGGGCGTGTTCGGTTTAAATTTACTGGACTACCTGGAGTGTGATCAGTTCCCCGAGAATGCAAACCCGGACGAATGCGTGGGTCATCGGGAGGTGCAAGAGGCAGCTCGAAGAGCGGAAAAACCTGGTAAGTAGTTAAAGCAACAAATATATCGCGTACTGATTGTGAGATAAAACAATCGCGAGAGAAGCATTCGACCAACGTAATAATTACGGTAGCGATTCAAGTTCTAAGTCCGTTCGTCGATCGTGGGCCATTCATCATTTTCTATCGTGGTGTCGGAGATAAGCTCGCAGGATAAAGTCCGGGCATTTGATAAAGAGGTGGATAATCGTAGGATTAAAATAATCTCGTAAGGACAGCCGAGCGACGTGCGGCGGGTCGCTTGGATGCGATGGCTAGGATATACCTACGTGCTTAGTCGAGTTAATTCTTTACTACTTTCTTCTGTTGTTATTTAACGATATTTCAAGGGTTCTCGACTTTCGATCATGGCGCAGTTTAATCGCGTTCGGAGTATTTAGTCAGCCTGTTCATCGGTCCTTAACGATTATCAAGCACTCTTTTCTATCCGCCGTTCCTACCCGTTCTCCGTTTTCTCTAAGGTTCGCAAGTCTAACAAACTTTCGATCGAATCCAATCTTGTAATTCTGTTTCCTTAATCGTTCCCTTTAATTGTTTCTTCTTCCTTCCGAGATTCTTAGCTTTGTCTCCGTTAAACGATAATACCTACCGAGTTTCCTCGATCGAGCTTGAACACTAATTCGATCCCGTTGACCCTTACGTTACCTTACGTTACGTTATGTTACGTTCCCGGGTCGACTCGAGAAGAAATCTTAATTCGACAGGAATTATGAGATTATTCTAAATTGGAGGAAAACTGGGTCGAAGCACTTTGTTCGTTTTCGTTAGCAACTATCGGAAACTCAGAATGAAAAAAAGAGGATATCGAAACTAAACGAAAGTGATGAAAGAGAAAAAAAAAAGAAACGAAGGGGAATGAATCGGTATGCGATGCGTAAAAAAGAATGATAACGTCGGTTATTCGTTGGGGACAGTATGCACCAGTGGATTCCAATGCGACGAGAATATATGCATTCCGGTGGACTGGCGTTGCGACGGCCACGTGGATTGCAAGGATCGAACCGACGAAAAAGGCTGTGGCAATTGCACCGCCTCTTCCTCCTCCTCTTCCATCAGCCTCGCGTCTAAAATAATAAAAAAGCCGATCCTGGCGAAGAACACGAACGTCGAATCGGTATTGCATTGCGGGGAGAGGCGATGCATGTCGGCGAATGACATCTGTGACGGAGTGATGAACTGTCCATGGGGCCAGGACGAGAGATATTGTCGTAAGTCCGTCAGAATTTAATATCGCTTTTAACTATTATTTAATACAGAAAAAGAGAAAGAGAAGCAACTGCCTCGCACTCGCAATTTTCACTTCGACGAATGCATTCGCTCATTCCGATTTTTATTTCTATTTCGATTTCGATTCTAATTTCGACAGTGAGACTGAGCCAGAGGAACGGAGACGTGGGCGAGGGAAGACTAGAAGTTTATCATGCGGAGATGGGCAAATTCATGCCGGCCTGCGTAGCTTACTGGGACTCGAATACTCCAAACGATATCTGTTCCATGCTGGGATACACGTAAGAGATGCTTCGAGTCTCGCTATCCCTAATGCGCGTTCCTCGTTCTTGCCACCAAGTGCCGTCCTTTCTCGTTTCAGGACGGCAGTTTCATCAAGATTAGAGCCACGAGACGCGAACGTCACTCGAGGAGCAGAGTTTATGAATCGACGGCGGACGAATCTTCTAAAAGATTTTCAGGAATGCATCACCGATCAAGAACAATATCCGACCGCTGAATTAACATGCACGAAATACGGTAAGCGACGCTTCACGACGCCGGGCGTTTACGCGCCAATCCCTCGCGTGGTCGAACTGATTTCTCAACTTTGCTTTTTTCCTACGCGACGCAATGTGCCGCCAGCCTGTGGACGAAGGAAAACGCTGTACGGGAATTCGAAGGTGCAAACGAGAATCGTGGGCGGCGTGGAGTCGGCTCCCGGGGATTGGCCGTTCCTCGCGGCTGTTCTGGGAGGTCCCGAACAGATTTTCTATTGTGCCGGTGTTTTGATCGCGGATCAATGGGTTCTGACAGCGTCCCATTGCGTCGGGAAGTAAGTCTCATCGCTGCCGCTCTCATATAAACTTGCAAACTCGTACACGTACAGTGCTTGATACGCGAATTCGATCCTCAGTCACACCGACGTTACGGGATGGACGATACAACTGGGAATCACTAGAAGACACTCGCACACTTTCCTCGGTCAGAAGCTGAAGGTGAGAAGAGTGATACCTCATCCGAGCTACAATCTGGGAAGCGATCACGACAACGACGTCGCTCTTTTTCAGGTACATATTTATTTCACACGCGATCGACCAACCCTTCGGGATAAATTTAATCTATTATCGATTATATTTTCAGCTCGAGAGACGAGTCGAGTTTCACGAACATCTACGGCCCGTTTGTCTGCCTTCGCCCCATACCCATCTCATACCTGGGACGCTTTGCACCGTGATCGGTTGGGGCAAGAAGAACGACATCGACAGTACGTATTTAAAAGCGCGCACGTAGCGCAGCAATTATAAATGGCATAAATGACCCGATATTTTCTGTAGCTTCAGAATACGAGCCAGCCGTGAACGAAGTTCAAGTTCCTGTTCTGAAGAGAGAGATATGCAGTCTTTGGCTGGAGCACTCGAGCAAACTGAACGTCACCGACGGTATGATATGCGCTGGATATCCGGACGGAGGAAAAGACGCGTGTCAGGTAAATTATAAGTACAAATAACCCAAGGGATTTCCGATCGACTTGGTTCGCACGCACATATAGAAAATACGTAGGTCCAACTAGTTGCGACGCATGGAAATTAAATAATAAAGAAAATATGTCACATTTTTTTATGTATGCGTGCATAGTCAGTCCGGAATCCTTTGAGTCGTTAATACATTGTAACATACTTGTCCCGCGTTCGCATTGGCTACGCTGTCGATCTCCCAAATGATCGCGATCACGGTGCAATATACATGATGTGGTGTCCGATCGAACGACAGGGTGATTCCGGAGGTCCTCTGCTGTGCCAGGACGCAGCAGATAAAGAGAAATGGATCGTCGGCGGTATAGTAAGTTGGGGCATAAAATGCGCTCATCCAAAACTGCCCGGAGTTTACGCTTACGTGCCGAAATACGTGCCCTGGATTCGACGCGAGATGGATAAATATTCCGACGTAAGTATGGGTTAACCGGATCAATCTCGAAATCTACGAGAAAGGACGCCTAAACGCGTCGTGTCCGTCGAAAAAACTCGTCCATCGAGAAACGTGCGTAAACTGAACAAGCGAACGAACGAACGAACGAACTATCTATAGTTTGCCGACCAAATATGTGCGCACTTAACTGTGGTATTGCTCCGATTAGATTAGTCCACGTCTACAGTCTACAATCTACATACATTCATGTATACAAATAGTAATATAACGTTACGTTCGCTCGTTCGCACGCGAAGATTCCACTCAGCGCATTACCGCGCATAAAGACAAACCGATTCGCATCCAACGATCGACTCGATACGAGTTTCGTTGCAGAATCGGTTATAGACCTCGTCCTCCAGTTCCTCGTTCTCGGTTTATCGGAAATTACCTATCGCTTTCTCCTTCTCATAAATGGATAAGAACGCGAAAGCAAAAGTGAAATAAATGGAAACATATTACGAACGGCGAAAGCTCGATCGTCGTTTTCGATAAATTTAACGACCGTTTTCGCTGGAAGAGTTTGCGCGTCAAGCAGAACTCCCATCGACGTCGCCTGTATAGCCGAATGTACCGTAAGAATAACAGGGAAGCAACAGGCTCAGAATATCGCATTGAATGCGATGAAAAAGATCCAGTTTTCTATCGCCCTCGCAATCACTGGTTTTTCGTAGAAATACCACCTCACGCGAACCACAAAGTGGTAAACACATAGGTATCCAATTCTAAACGTTTGATCGATGGGTGTGCGTTTCCTGTTCATCGATACATAATAACGTACATACAGACGATTATCAAATATGATCGAGAATTATGACAATAAAGAAGAAGAAGAAGAAGACGAAGTATACATAACTTTTCATAATATGCAAAGAGGAAGATACATGCCGTCGGGTCAGAGTATGAAATATTGGATTCGTTCTACCTTGGACAATAACATTATATGTAGATACTTTTGTACGTATTTTACAAACGCACACCCGTTTCACGGAGAAGAAACGTTATGCACAAGGTGCATCAGACGCATCTGTGCATTTATAATAAAACGTTTTTGTCTACGATAAGTCAGTCACAGATTATTATACGCATATAGTAAGTACGTATACAGTGTAGAGCGAAGCAGTACCGACACTCTTTACGTACCGATGTTTGTTAACGAGAGCATATAGATCGTTATAACAGGTTCATGCACATACCTATGTTAAGTGTTTAGCATTATTTAGTCTAATTTATACGCGTGAACTACATAAATATTATTATGTATACGTGGAACGTGGAGTTTGTAAGTAGGTCCATGGGAAAAGTGGTAGAATAAGTAGATATTTACGACCGAAGCTGAGATCGAACCGTCGTGTTCGATCTACAGCCACCAACGGATATTTAGCTATAGATATGTACAGTCGAAACGAGTATTAAGTTGAAGCGTTTCAAAATCGAATAACTTATTTAATATCGGACCAAACAACAGACTTGTCGATGGGATGCAAGGAGACTTAGTTTACTATGAAATATTGGAGTGCCAATAAAGTAATTTCGGTTTTTATAATGCTATGTATTTGTAAAACCGAAATTACTTTCTTGCCAACCCAACATGTAAAATATGTTAATTTTTATTGATCGAAATCTGGGAGAATGATGTGAATATCGCGCTTTTAACTTTTTTTATTAGCATCTCTAATAAACTAATTTCTAATACTTACTCAAATCTACAAGCGGATGTTCCCAAATTTTATTAGAGGTCCCAATAAAAAAAATTAAGACAGGCAGCGATTATATCTTCTTCCGTGGTTTCAACCAATAAACATGAACGAATTTTTTTACATTTTGCATAGTAAACAAAATTTTGCATCCCATAGAAGTATATATCGTTTGGTTGATATTAAAAAAATTATTTCAATATGGAGTGTGTTAACTTAATATCCGTTTCGACTGTATCTATCGACGCATTAGTCGTCTGTGTTCGTACCCCGAATACAATTATATCCGCGATAAAAGTATTCGAGGCATGAGAGAGACGCGATATACACGTATACCGATAGGTACCTAATCGTGCACCGGATATAAACCGGTGCCGCTTGTATAGCAACGTGTTAGCGCAACTGGTTAGTTTATCGTGAAACGTTAAATAGCTAAATTAGACGCGCGTTGACTGAATTCTAGGGACAATATTCTGCACCAGCACTTTTTTGATCCGCACCCAGACGAGAAGAGAAAGAAGCATAGTTTTTGAAATGGACTATACTCTGTACGCGATACGTACGTACGTACGTACGTACGTACTTACACGTACATACCTACATATATCGTTTACGAGAGAAGAAAACTAGGAGCCTTATTAATTAATCTAGACTTTTTCTATAAAAACTTTTTCGATAAGAATAGCGGTATTGTTGGTCCGGACAGTAATCGAGCTCATTCCTTGTTTCGATCTTTCCTTTTCCCTAACACATACACACACACACACATATATAAACAAGCAGACAGACAGACACACACGCATGCACACGCGTGCGCATACACACACATACGCGCGCGCGCGTTTTTTACTCTCCCTGTACGAAGCTTGTTTTTTACGTAAACATTTTTATATCGTAGAATCTCGTGAAGAACACGGTTTCGCGAAGAAGAAAAAAGTAAGAAAGACGCGTCTCTTCCCTTTTCCCATTCCGAACTGAAATCGTTTCCAGAATTACCTAGCATCGTCGACGGCAGGTACATAAGTCTGACGCGCTTATCCTAGCTTTTCGATAAGCCGAACGATTGATTATTTTTCGAAGGAAATGCTCGCTTCTCATCCCGAGGCCCCGAGACGCGTTAGTAAAGGACAAAAAGTCTTCCTTAGTATCCAGACAACAGGTAGTCGTAAGCCAAGGATAATATAGAATTAATAATAACCGACAATACTGTGTGAGCAGACAATAAATAATACGTATTAGGAAATGTTCCAAAACGGACAATAAATTATAGTTGGTAAGCGTTAGACTAGGTAATGTTCCGTACAATGATGTAGGCGATGAACCAGCCGAAATGCATGTGATCGTTGTAGGCATCTAATCTAATACGTAAATACATACGCGTATCTCGCGTCGCGCGTTCCGACCGCGATCGCTACCGTTCCTTGCTTCTGTATCGTCATAATTTAAAAATCCTTTTATCTGCCGTTTTACCACCGTTGGAAGCTCGTGTCCTTTTTCGAACGAACCGATTAAGGGTTCGATCCGTTTAAGGACCGATGTCGAAAATCAAATCGGACAATCAAGAACGTCGCGTACGCGCATATTTTCGTGTACGTATAAAACGTTTTTCCGATCAGGATTAGAATATTTTTCTAAATGCGAAACGCTCCTTTTTTCAATTTTATTCGATAAGGAGACGGCTCACGTTTTTTTGTTACGATTTCTTATTTTCTCGCAGTCGTTCCTGTATCGTAATCTACTATGTACTATGTATGTACAGTCGTACCCGAAACGACGCGATATCTGAGATTATATGCAATTATTACGATAAATGTATAGGCATACATATGTATGTATAGAGTGTACTAGCGACACGTAACGAGTACCTACCACCTATCTATCTATCTCGTTACGAACACCTGTTTATGAATCGGTTTTTAGTTGGTGACGGTTTGTGCCAAAGAAGAGAAACAAAAAGATATTCCATTTCTTTTCGTGGGAAACGTTTTCCACGGTGAATTTGTATATATTTTTTTTATCGACGTGGACAGTGGGGCGTACGTTCATCACTGGTACGCTGGATGAACTAGATAGACGTACGAGAGAAAACGCAGAGATGCGTTTAGATTTAGTGTAGAAGAATTCGATCGCAAGGGTCTTTGTTTCACCGGGTGATTTTACAAGTTTTTTACTCGACGAACGTCCACAGGTCAATAATTAAAACGTAGTCAATTTAGGAGTACATAGTCGCGTAGATGCGTATCTACATAATTTCTTTGTATTCTCCTTGGTTTATCGTCCTAAGTACGACTCGATCGATCTCTCAAAGGCCTTTAAATTCTGACAGAACGCGTGTATACACATGTATGTACATACGCTTGTATGTACAGGAACATCGATCTTCTCGGTACAACTCACGGAGAGCGGGTATTCGCGATCCATTTTTTATTCGAAGATCGACGGAAATTGTTGCGCACAAAATGCCTGTGTATTTGTATTCCCGATCGTAAGGATACGAGAAGGTACTCTCCTTTGGTTAAAGAGGAAAAAGACTCGTCGTTGTCGGAACCGTTTATCGAATATAGATCTATCTGTATGGCGAAACTACGTAACTAACTACTCCTGTAAAGTCAATGTCGATTAGCAAGAGGACACCGACGCAGGTCGGAATACTTTGATAAGCTTAAGTAAAATTAAAAAGGAGGGGAAAGTATCGACGATAAGATTATTGTATGCCTATACCTAAACGCTGCTGCTGCGTCTAAGCGAACGATTCACGTATGTGCTTCATCGAAATATCGAATTATATCTCTGTTCCTCGAGAGGAAGATCGCAAGGGCAGCCGTCGAAAAATTATCCGCCAGACTCTCTTAACGAAGTAACGGCATTCTCGTGGTTCCACGTAAACCGTAGCAAGAAACAAAAAAAATATCAATTAGATACGTGTTAACGCACGTCTGATTAATCGCGCGCTAAACGAACTCATTTACGCGTCACGCGTCTCTCCCCGCGTTTTATTCGATCGGGACCGAGTTACTCGAGTATGCCGCGAAAATAGAAAACAGCTGAGCCTCTATTAACAACGTTATGCATAGAATGCGATGCAAAACCGACGAAAGACGAAAGCGGTTAGATGATAGAACGGATGCAAGTAGTTGTTTGTTCTTAGCGCTTTCTTAGTGAATTTGAGAAAAAAAGACCGAAATGAATGGAAACAAATAAAACGCGGGGACGTTTAAATGTGATAGCTTGTTGTGCCCGGCACAAATCCTAATCGTACAATCAATGGTCGATATTACATACAACGTGTCTACGTGTATGCAAACATATATTATATACGTACCTATATAGATATTATTACAAAGAAAGGGATGTGGCATAACCGATAAGTAACGAAGTAAGTGTACTCAGTCAACCGAGCAGCCGTCTCTTTCGACTCGATTGAATGGCGAACGATGTTTGTGTATGTTGTACACGTACGCGTATTACGCATAATAAATGCGCACGTGTATTTGTAACGAGCGGATTTACGGATGCGTAGAGGCGATGAATCACGTTGGCTGGAAGATAACGCGTAGATAAACGTTTTACAGGTTCTGTGTCGCTGTGATTAGTATATACATACGTACATAAACACGTAGAACTAGACCAGTGTCCTATCGTTAAGCTATAACTGTTAACTAATCGTCACCGTTAACAAGGAACGGAGACAGTCATTGCTATTGATCGCTCGAATCGCTTGATCATTCGTTTTATGCATTGCATTCGCACCTGCTTCGACACCGATAGACGCTAGTCTCGGTAGAGGACGCGAAATTCAAATTAACGTAATTTACGACCTCGGCAAAAAGATTCCTCTTAACGAATCCCGAACGTACCTAGTTTTCTCGGAAATCCTTATTGTTCAACCATTTTCTACGTAGGCATAGCGTGTAAGCTTCGTTCGTTCGATTCTCGAATTCCTACGCCCTACGGAGTATCGGCGTGATTCGTGCGTAATCAAACGACCCAACTGACAGTCAATTAAAAAGCTTAAAGAGTTTCTCCAAGCTTTCACTTACGACTGATTTACAAAAGATCGCGCGTTAAGGAGCGAAGATCGATTCGTCTCGTCGAGAAACATCTACTTTCCGCTTGATCATCAACTTTTGACAGGCATTCATTTGCCAGAAGGCCAAGCTACTTATGCGAATAGATTCGATGCTTGCACTGCCTTTCATCGTAAAAAATGACTGTCTACCCACTTCCTAGCTCCTAGGTCCTCGTGTAGATGTACAGCGTACATAAAATCGCTGCGTCGCGATTAAAATTAAAACCATGTTTGGAGCAACTGACAATGAACTAAGTACATGCCGAATAACAAAATTACAAAATATAGGATATGACGCAGTCCACTCGCGTATACACAGAGTGTTACAATCTATCTACTGGTGAACTCGAACGAAAGGGACGAGTTATAGAATTCGTTAATTAGACGCGTGATGCGAAAAGTCAACATTTTGTACCCCTGCGTAGATAGACATGAAATCTTCACGCGTACGGCGCGTGGCGTTTAGCACGATAACGGTTGACAATCGATGATAGAACACGCATACATATTTATTTACTTACCTCGGTTGCACTCGTGGTCATCTGAGTCTGGCATCGTAGAAAACTTGATATACACAACAAGCAAGCACAGGAAAATCGGTTTACACGTTTCACGGATATTCACGCTACGAGTCACGCATCGAAATCGAAACACGATCAACTATCAAAACCTTCACTTACTTGTAGTTCTAGGACGATCGATCGTGATTTATAGTCGTCTGCCATCTTGTCAACAACTACTACCATAAACTGCCATAAAGATGCCTTGGCGCCACTAATCGGTGCCGGCAGAAATCATCATCGTCGCGGGGGGTACATTATACTATTGTACTTGTACTTATACATACGTACGTCCGTGCATCTTCTCGCGTCTCGCACTGTGCGTCACCCTTACGTTCACGTTTCGAAATGCGTCTTGCAGCGAGAAGTTTGGCGACTTCGGCGCGGCGCGGCAGGCGAGGGACACGGATGACTTGCGATAATTAGTAAACACGCTTCCCATTGTGATCAACAATTGTTATATTCGTCGTGCTGTCGCGGTCGTGGTCTTCGTCGTACTATCCACAATGTATTCGATAATACATATATATCGATATACATCGCTGTCATAGAGATGCATCTCATTCGTCGATCATCATCGATTGAACATCATCGATAAATCATAGATTTCGATTAACCAGCATGGCCGTGCACCTTTTAACAATGTGTCGCGTACATTTTTTTGAAGATATTATTCATAGTGTATGTGAAATTTTCTTGAAAGTCATGAATCGTGCGAACACTCGTTTATTGCTTATTCGTTTACACAAGTGGTACAGTGGCAGAGAAAATTTCTTGATTGCTTTATAAAGGAAGCATCGATGATTCTTTTACACGAACAAATCGTTATCGGACCGGCTGTGCCCAGGTAAGGAATAGTTCTTACGATTTATCATCGTCTACGCTTTAACGTGTATAGATTGTCTATCTATCTATGCAAGGGGAAATGCCGAACTTTTCAAGTCACGTGTAACTTGTTAACGAAATCTAAAGTATGATTCTATCATCGACGATCCTCTTACATTTCATCCCTTTCGTTCCTGCACGGCTGTAGATAGATAATAGATAACCTATTTATAGAGGTACATACGTACTTAGGTACACACGCACACGCATACATACACGTATATGGTAGTAAATACATAGGTAGGCTGCGAACTACAAAGATGAAATTGCACGTGACGCGAAAGACGAGCTCTCGCTGGCCGAGAGTCGTCACCGTCACTGGTGTGCAAAATAAAAATATACATACATATATCTAATTGTAAGAAATGTCGAGCAATGGTTATCGCAAGAATTTATAACAGGACCGAACGCGTGCTACTACGACTCGACAATAATATTAGTACGTTCTCTCTTCTTATTTCACACAAAAAGATATCTCTTTTCAGGTAAATTTCAAGTCCACCCAAAAGTTGTATTCGTTAGGAGTTATATTATACAAAGAGAACCGATATTTAGATTTAATGATTGAATTTTTACGTTTTCTTTACGGTTGTCTTATCGCAATAAGTTTCTGGTTTCAAAGATGATATGTAAACGTATTTAAATCGCTATAAGCGATCGGGGAAAATGTATTTTTGCAGATGGAACGAATCGATCGTCATCCTCGAAGTACGAGAATGCGATCTGCGCGTTTGCACGCGCGAGATCGATGTGCTTCGTTGGCGTTTAGCAAATTGCGAAAGCGGATTGTAATCTGCGAAAATAAGTTTCTTAAGGTTCTTATTGTTAGTCAGCGAGAGTGGTAGCGGTAGACACGTAAAGAAAATCCGTGTGCGCTGTGAGCTCGTGGAACTTGAATCGGTACAAAGAATTCTATTTAAAGAAAAAGAAAGCTAAACAGAAACGAATGTACTCGTTGTAAGAGAAAATTATTATATCCAAGTAAAAACTATGTAAGATCTATGATGAATCGATATATAGATAATATATTTATGGAAAATTCGTGTTGACAAATAAAAATTATGTATTGACAGTGTTACTGCTTTAATACTCCATCTTCGATTTTCAATTACGATCACTTTTCTTTCGGTTGAGTAATGATTTTTTTTTATTAGTTACATGAATCGAGGATCGCAGTTTTCATCAACGCCACCTAAAGTATAATAAAGCCTCTGTTCTTGTGAACATGTGATGTCACGCATAAGAGGCGTTTTCTAAAATGTGTATTATTGTGTAATTTTCTAAAATGTCTATTATTTTTTCGATGTCCATTACATTATTTACAAAGTCTGGAACAAAGTCTAAACATTTATCAGCATCTATGCATACTTAGATTAAATTATTGAAAAATCGGAAGTCATTGGAAATTGTAGTTCTTCATTTGTTAGCGTATCCAAGTCTAACTCGTGAATTCAGTTCGGACACTGATTTTAAGTAGCCGTACCTAGGATTGATCATTTGGGCAAGGATTTTAAAATAAAAATGCCAAGATTCGTTTCATCCATTTATTTGTTAATCCAAAGTAAATCAGATATTTTCCTTATCGCAATATTTATTAGCGCATACATTAAGTTAATGATATATNACGATTGCGAACAAGACTCTAACTATTGACTCTAACTATGGACTAACTATTGACTCTAAATGGAAACTAAGGTGAGAACAAAATGTCAGACTTCACTTGGGCACCAGAGTTCGAGCCGAGCAGGATACTGCACCCGAATGACGATGCCTCAGCGCAGGAATGGCCTGACCACGACCAATCCGTCTCACGGAGCTTACGCACTGCACCTGGGAATGGAACAGGAACACCCCAGCGACTGACGAGACAGGCCACCCGAGATACAGGACCACAACTCTTTTCTCCCTCTGGTACTCGAGCAAAGTCTGACTGGTAAACTACTATTCGCGGCGCGGGTATACTAAAACGCGAGCAAAATGGATTGACTGAAACGAGAGAGAGGGATGAAGTTAAATTCGCTCCGTTATAGGGTGGAATTTAGGAAGGCATACTGCACACTAGTACCGGTACCCACACACTCATACTCATACTCATACCGCACACGCATACTGGGATAGGATGGGAAAAGGGGTGTCTCGACCGGCCTTAATGCCGATCGAGTGACTCGAGGAGCGTCGGGGCTCTGTATTTATACCCTCTCGGCGATCGACGGTTTGGGCAAAGTGACGTCTGTGCAAAATGATTGGCCGATTCTTAGAAGGCTCGGCTCCTGATTTGCATATTCGTTTACTCCCGCATTTATCGATAATCGGACAAGATTTTTTGGGTCATTCCAAACGGAATGACCATATGACCACTGACTTTAAGTACCCACCCCCTAGGATTGGTCATCTACTCATTCCCTTTGGAATATACATAGTTCATTCCATCCGCAGTACCATCGTTTTGATATCAACCGTTTACCCTACGTAGTAAACGAGGGTGTTTCCCACAAACGTGTAGGTCATTGACAATACCTACACGTATCGGAGTCGACGTTTCCTGTTGCTAGAATATGAGGAAACTGTAACTCTTGTTCTTTAAACTTTAGATTCGAGAGTTGGAATTGAAAAGCGAAAACGAATTAATAAAATTAGTGAGGATCCGAGGTAAAAGATCTCGCCTGGCCCATTCAGAATCGACTCGATGGGTAACCTTCGAACGTTTTACTTGAAACTTTCTAGATGTCGGTCTCTACGCTTTAATCCTTTCTAAATATTTCCAAAACATCCTTCTGTAAAGATAATTAAAGAATATCAGAAATCGTGAATCGTACGATAAATAAGGAATTACTGAACTCAATTGAATTTCTAAATAGTTATATCTATGGTGGTATTGCTATTGCCAAAACACTCTTCCTCGTCCTAACTAAAGAATTTCATATTCGTATTTGTATTATAAACAGTTTCAACCCTTAGCCCTACCACTAATGCTTGCAACTATTTACTTGCGTCTTCACGAAGGAAAATGAATAAAAGAAATACAGGTTTTCTTAATCAGCCAACAAAGTGACGATCGATTCGTCCGTCGAGTATCACTCGTACAATTCTTTCTATCCCCCAGTTTCATTGTTTCGAGATCTCATGTCCTCAGTGTTTCGAGCAGATCTCGATTCAAATAAATTCGAAAGCGTATTAAGATCACGTCGTGCCACATTCGAGTAGTAGCATCCCATGTCTTGTACCTACCCCCATCTAACTGAAGGAAAGGTCGTCGTAAAGCAGATTTGTACGGCGTACGATTTCTTCACAAAAACAGTATCATCGTAATCCTTAAACACCGTTTTGCCCTCGTAACCGACGCCAACGCCAACGCCGACGACTGAGTCGAGTCGAATCGCGACTCTACGCGATACAACCCAACTATTACCGGTCCAGTGACACGAAGGGTTCTTTAATCCTCGCGAACGGATGCCTGGAGCGGAGTTCATTGGGATAATGGACCGGTAACCCTGAACGAACGATGCGCGAGATAGGATTTGCCTCGATTTGAAATTTATCCGCGTGAAATCCACGTGACACGACGGAACAGTACAGTTACTACTCACTTCCCTACGCGATCGCAGCCAACAAACACATAGTCGACGCAGCGAGCTGGAAATCTGGAATCATCTAAGTTGTTGATGGTCGGCTCGTTCTTATTTTTACCGAAGAAATAATCGTTTTACGCGTTGTGGAACAAGCAAATACCTAGGCGCGGCATTTGACCTGCGTCAGAGCTCGGAACTCGGAACTGGGAGAAATAGCAAATGTTCTTAAGGAAGCGCACCGATAAATAACGGTTTATTAACGTACTACCTAATGCCTCGCGTGAAATTAACGGGAGTCGAGGCCCGAGGCCCGGCTTCCAAGCAGTTTCCTGTCGGCTGCCTCGGTAGGAAACGAAGGGGGCCCGCGAAACTTTCGGTCTTAAATGAACGCGGCCGCACGCTGCGAACGCGGTTCTAATTAAAACAAACACGATTATGTACTACACGTTTCACTTTGAATTTATAGTCATCCCGGTCGCGACGCTGTTCCTCTCACCGAGCCGTTCTTTAACGAGTTTCGCGAGATAACGTAGATATCATCGCGAGAGGCAACCTCCTTTCTTAACAAACGCTACAAGTAGATCAGGTTAAAGTCGAATACAATTTCGTAACGTCGATTTGCCAAGTTTTATCAAGTACTTGATACTGGCAGTGCTCGATTTATAATAATACTTTATTAAACGGATACATAAAACACATAAATATAGGAACAAAATAAATTTAATGGGAAGATAACAGAAGAAACAGATAAAAAACTAGCAAAAATAAATTTTATATAGTAACATTAACAATGTGAATAAAGTACTAGTAAAGTGTGGCAGTGCCCGTGTAATCGTTGGGACAGCGAAATACAAATGGGGCCCAATGGGTCTCGAAACACAACCGGCAATCGCTCTTTTCGAGGGTGAGTAATTTGAAATAATCCATAATTGGACCGTAATCATGGTTATGGCGATTCATTAGCGATGGAGTGCTATTTTAATTCTACCCAGCTATACGCAAACAGGCTTCCGCGTCTAACAACTATAGCCCATGCCGTTTAATGGAAAACGCGATTCGGATGTAAATACGTATTAGATAGGTATTTCCACGAGGTACTAGAAACGATTCTTCCAACGATTATATCGATGCTTAGGCACCCGCTGGGTGATCCGCCTAATCCGGATTTTGAGTGGCGCGCACGCATGCACTTCGCTTCGTTGCACCCATGTGTGTAAGTACGTACGCCACGCCTGCGTACGTGTGCGATCCACGAAATAACTCATCCGTTTCTCGGGCATCTACCTACTTAGTATTTTAACTCGCGTGTTCGATCTACGAAATACAAATTGATACGTGGATACGAGTCTTGAATCGTGAACGATCGGCAGAATCGTTTACTTTACATCGATTCTTGGTTCCTCGCCTTTCCAATGTCCTTTATTTTCTTCGTCGCCTGCCGACGAGCGGCGAGATACATCCGGGAAGGGTCTCGTGGTCGAGCTTTAATCACAAACTTATTATCGCGAAACGAACTTGCCCCTGGCAGGGTGTGTCAGCGGGACAGCGAGAGCAACGGTAATACGGTTTATTAATTTATCGTTGCCCCGCTGTGGAGAAGGGAGAAAAGCACACAGAGAAAGAAAGAAAGAGACAGGGGGGAGTTTGCTTGTTTTTAATTACATATTCCTTAATTAACGATCCACCGTTTCAAACTGGCTTCCTTCTCGACTCGTTTCAATTCTTGTTCTTTCCGCGCAGACACCTCATTCCGCGCGATGCGAAATTCTGTAAGCAGGCTAAACCGAATTAAGACGTCGAAGGTACGACCCTTCCTCTTCCCTTTCATTTTCAATTGCCCGATAACGATCTTCGAGATTAAACAACCATCTCGTAGATGGACGCGTACAATTACGAAACTTATTCAATGTAGGTTATTAATTTTCATCGAGAACTCGACTGGTCGTAGGTAGATACGTAGATAGGTACCTTACTTATCTGTTATGGCCATCCGATATAAATGAAACCCGTAATTAATTACGTGTCTAACGTCATCGGGGCGTTGCCAATGCGATGAGTAACGCGACGTCTGATCTAGCCCAGAAATACTTTTCTATTTAACGGCACGAATCCAGCGGCAAGGAAAGGGTTGCGAATTGAAGCGATCCGGCTGCGCATGTAGCTACAAATGTCGCTCGTTACAATTCGATTTTGTTTCGTTAACCGACCCTTTACGCTCGTTTCCACACACGAGAACTTAATTGTTTCGGCCTCGATCTGGCTTGCCTCGTGCGACGAATCTCTTCGCATAGTCACTAGATAGTCGATGAATCTAATTCCGAATATTGGAGGTAAGCCTCTTATCCTCGACGATCGTGTCCACCAGATCGTAGCTACGCAGTCACCTACACAGTCCAACTAAATAAACTTTTTTTATTTTTTGGCAAGATCCATTACTTGTCTTATAAAGTTTCTCGTGCTAAAAGTAAATTCAGAAACAGAATTACTCTGTCACGTACCATTT